CGGCGCTGGGCACGCACGTGGCCGATCTCGCGGAGGAGGGTGAGCCGCAGGGAGTGTGCGGGCGGGGGTCTCCAACCCCGCTCCGGGGGCACTCTGAACACGTTGTTCTTAAAGGACGCAGACACAGATCTAAAACACCTGTTACTGGAAGATCAGGAACACTAGCCGTTGCAGTGCTTCAATAAAAGAAGCACAGGTCCTGCAGGGCTGAAAGATATTCTGGGCTTTTCTCCACATGATCTCTAGATTACTTCATTGAAACACCACCTGTTTTGACTGATCACAGTGAACTTATTCTAGGCCTTTAGGAATTGATGATTTAAAGACTGCCTGTAAAACCCCACAGGACGGAGCTCTCCTGGTGTAAGGAGAATGGGCTATGTGCCAGTATCATATGTGTAAGATCACAGACACACAAGCATATCCACAGAAGTGGTTTAAGTTTTCATTTCGTCTAATACGCTATTGACTTGATTGGTCTAAATCACCAGTTCTCAGGTCTTCAGATACTCTGTGCCTCTCTTAGATCAAGGATGTTTACTGTGCCACCCAAGAGAAATTGCCGTAATATTAAGCTTATCGTTACAAATGACACATTTTTAAATTCATGATAATTGGATATTAACCAAACACATTTAGAGAGGCGATTGCTGGATTAATTGTGGAATCATTTCAAATTTTCCATTTCTGTGTCTTTTGGTTCTGCTTCATTGATGACAGGATATACCCCTTAAACTGGTTGTTGTCCTTTAACATCCGGACTTTATCTACAGTAGTGATTCTCTGCCCTGCTGACTGGATGTCCTGTCCGTTCTCTCCTGTCTCTCTACTTGTTACCCACAGTGTGGCTGGTGCAGAGCCTGCAGTCGGGGGACCAGGATGCACTGCTGAAGGCCCTGAAGAGACCGCCTGAGTCGAGCCTGCAGAGGGAAGGGCTGCAGGCTGTCAGTCTGCTGCTGCAGGACCCCAGGGGCAAGGTGTGCAACGCTGCCTCTGGCCTCCTGCGCAACCTGGCTGAACATCCCCAGCACAGAGAGAGGGTGAGAGAGCTCCCCGTCAGTATCAGCTGTGTCAAGACCGTGCTTTTCACAAACATCCAAATGCTCATAAAGAAAATTTTATTTCAATAAATTTGCAAGTCCCTGTCCACTTCCTGTCCTGTGCTTCTAGGATAGACTCCAGGTTTGCTGAGACTCTTACCAGGAATTAATGGGTTTCTGACGGTGGTGGGTTAGATGCAAGTCCCCCAGTACTGAAGACTGTGGCTGCAGCAGGGTTAACTGGCTTTGTGCTACGGTACGATGCCTTTTCCTGCAAGACATTGAATGTTTCATACGTTTCCCATCAGGCCCTGGTGTGCTGTCTGGAGCTGCTGGAGGATGACCGAGCGGAGACGCGGGCTGCAGGCTGTAAGGCTCTTGCGTGTCTCAAGGTGGGTCTGAAACCGCTGCCGCTGGATTCTTCAGCTCTCGAATTCAGAAAAGGCCTTTCCAGCATGATCGTGACACACTGGGCTGCTGCTAATGGCTTTGGAATGAATTTGCCTCGGCAGCATGTGGTATTAATGTTGACATCTGCCGGACGGATTCTTTCTCGGTTTCTGTCTCCGGGATTTGGCTGGGATTTCCTGCAGGGCCCGAGCTCTCCCTGCGGGACATGTTGAGGATTCTGACAAGGGATACCGTGTAGTAATGAACACGGTTGAGCCGCAGCAGTACAGATTGGGAGTTGTTAGCTGACACTGTGAGAAATGCAGGTATGCAATGCAAGTATGAACCCCCCTAAACCGCCCCACCTCGCTGCTTTGTCTGTCAGGCTAAAGAAAGCATCGACCAGCTGGCGTACCTGTGCCAGACAGACAAGGAGGACGTGAGGGACGCAGCCAAGCAGACTCTACTGTCATTTGGTGAGTGGAGCTGGTGCCTGTGTGGACCCGATGGGTATGCGCTGGAACTGGAAGTGTTCAAACTAGAACGATGCACCCGGGTAATCATTTGCTAGGTGTTAAGTTGAAGGAAATATTTTTTCACCCCCAGAGATGCAGGGATTTGGCATCGACTTTATATGCATGAAGTGAACATGGGGGGAGTTGTTGCTTTTTTTTTTTGTTTAATAACTTTGACAGAACAACATGTTTCTGTGCTCTGAGCACAGTGCGAGTAGATATACCGCTTATAATGCTTTGTGCTAAAACTGTGCGGACCTCCGGAAAGTGCCAGAAACAGTGGAGAAATGTAGTAGATGGAGCGCGTGGGGCAGAAGGCGAAGAGGTTGAGTTCAAGTGCGATAGCAGCCCCTCGGCGCAGGCGGGAGGCTGGAGACTGACTCCCGCTCTGTGCGCTCTGTCTAGGGCACGAGGGGAAGCTGGCCTACCGGCACGTGGAGGAGAGCCAAGATGGGGTCCCCCGGCTCTTCGCCCCAGGGGCCATGGCCAGCACAGCCTTCTAGAGCCCTCCCCCGGAGCCCAGCACACCCCCCCCCCCCCCCACCCAGGCCCGGGCCTGTGGGTGCCTGTGGCAGCAGCGACGCACATGCACGATGGAGGATGCCAGGACTGAGTGACGTCAACGAGGAAGGAAGCGCGCGGACGGGAAGTCCCGCTGGGGAGGCGCGAGGGGGGTGCCGGCGGAGGAACCGTTAGTAGCTGGGGTGCGCCCTGGCCGAACAGGACACGGCGCCTCCCTCTGGGATTCAGCTGCTGGAATAATGGGACAAACACCGACAGGGCGGGGGGCGCCGAAGTCTCCCCGGAAGACGATGCTGGAGACCTGGGCTTTCCTGCCCGCAATGTTCTTCTGACAAAATCCCTGAAGCTCCCGACGAGCTTCCGGGTCCGAAGGGTTCCCCGGGGTGAGTGGGGGAAAGGGGGGTGGCCCCGACAGCCTGCCCCCTTTATTAACGGAGAGCTTTTCACGGACTCGAGGAGAGAGATGGCAGGAGCTCTCTGCTGCCCGTTCAATAACTCAGGGGGAAAATAACCGAGAAAGTGAACACAGTGCCACAGATCTCTAAAGTAATATAATTTGTGAGTAAAATATGTGTTTTAATTTCTACTGAATTGCAAACGGATGTTATTTTGGTTTGTAAGGAATGTGTCAAGAGCCCAGGTAGCTGAGCGGAT